GAAGAGACCACACCAGTGTAGGCTGAGAAGATGATAGCTTGAGGGGGTGGCAGAGTAAAAGAAAACTTCTTTTGGAAGGATAGGGGAGCCCTGATCAGGGTTGTAGGCTTAGAGGAAGAGGCAGAGGAGGAGAGATTATAAATGCATTCATTGAGAGAGAGGGGGGATGATTGAAGGAATAATGTCAAGGAAAAGACAGATGAGTATCAATGGAGGGGCTAGCTTTGGCTAGGCTCAGCTCTTCCTCTATAACTCTAATGAAGGTGAGAATGGGTAAGGACAAAGAAATGATGAGAGAGTCAAGGGAGTTTATATAGAATGGTCCCAGTCTTCTTAGTAAAGTTGTCAATAGCTAGACAGCATGGTGGATAGGGTGCTGGGCCTGTAATCAGGTAGACCTCAGTTCAAATCCAGCCTCAGACAATTAATAACTGTGTGACCTTGGGCAAGTCAGTTAACTGCTGTCTGCCTCAGTTTCCTCAACTGTAAAATGAGGATAATAATAGCACTTATCTCAGAGTGTTGTTGTGAGAATCAAATGAGTTCATATTGGTAAAGCACTCAGCACAGTGCCTGGCATATAGTAGGCACTATATAAATGCTAACTATTATTGTTAGGTGAGGTCATTTGCTGGGAGAGAGGAGGGGAAGACTGGAGGATTGAGAAGAGAAACTTTGAAACACTCCTTGGGGAAGAGATAAATGAAAGGGTGACCAAGCAGTAGCGAGGGTTCCATTGAAGTCAGACAGGCTACGTTTGTTGTGGACCGCGTGAGCAGTTCCAGGATTTCCTCTCAGCAGTGTTTGGCTGATTGAATGGAGGAGGCAGATGGTTGGAATCCCCCAGGACTGCAGAACAGCAGTGTAGGAGGGGCAGAAAGTCCAGAGGGCAAGAGATTCAAAGGTAAAGGAGAATTAAATTAGAAAAGGACCTGAGCTATGATAGATAAGGAAGAGAAAATCTCCAAACAGAGAGAAATGGAGGGCTTGAACAAAGTCCCGTCAAGGTCAAAGAAAATGACAGGACAGGGAAGATGACATTTTAGTCTTGGAGAGCTCAGGGTCTCTTCCATACCAGAAAACACACACACATACACACATACACATACATACACACACACACACACACACACACACACACACACACACACACACACACACCCTCTTGTGTTGTGTAGGGGGTGACTTCATTTGTGAGGACTTTGCCAGGAGAGCCCAAGCTTGGCAGGTCCTATCAAGCTGTGCATGGCCAGAGATGGTCTTTTTCCTAAGGACTAGTTTTGTTTAGTGAGGAGGCACTATGAGTAGTCACGGCCATAACATCATTAAATTAGAATGCAGAAAGGCTTCAATCTACAAAGGGAAAAGAACCTCAACATAGATGAAATTGGATCTTTCCCATTATAAAGCAAGAAGTAAAGGTGTGAGCCTTCATGTCCAAGTACTCCTAGCAGTGTCCAAAAGGAAGAATCACCTAGAATCAAGGAGCAGAAAGGGGACATCTAGACCAGCTAGTGAATCTATAATTCAACCCCTTTGTTTTATAGATGGGGAAACTAAGACCCCTATGAAGAGAAGGGAACTCATAGCATGAGATCATAGAAAGCTGTCTCTAAAGAACTTCAAAGGTCATCTGGTCCAGTGGCATTGAACTCAAATAGAAATGGGGCCCTGAACCGTACATAAGGATCCTTGTAGCCACATGTTATAAGATCCTTGTGGGCTCTATACTGACTTAGAAAACTATATATTAACATTATTATATATATTATCTTGTATTTACATTTATTTTGTTAACTATTTCCCAATTAGACTTTAATCTGGGGGCAGTGAGAATATGGCAGGCCCCTGTGGGTCTGATTGACACCTCTCATCTGGTCTACCCCTCCCATTTTCCAGTCAAGGGAACTAGAGCCCAGAGAGAGGAAGTAACTTAGCTAAGGTCACACAGTTAACAAGTTTCAAAGCTGGAACTTGAACCTGAGTCTTCTGATCCAATGCTCTTTCCCATGCTAACACACTGGAGAGGTGGGGAGCACTGACCCTTCTGCTAAAATCTGTAAGATCATGGTGTTGAACCCCCTAATTTGCCATGCCTTCATGGTGAACCCCTCCCAGCCGCAGGCAGTTAACCCTTGATGAACCCACTTTGGGTGTTCCCCACCCACTGCACCTGTGCATAGTAAATGGCTGGGTCAATTCTATAAGAGAAAGGGTGCATTCCTAAGTTCCGGTGGCTTTTACCCAAGTCACAATTCTAACTCCCTTGCTCCAGCTTTTACTTGGTGGCATGAGGATAATTGATACATCCTGAAATAGCAACTATATTTAAGTGCTACCCTGGCATTTCAGCCGTTAACATCGTGTGTTTGCATGTTTTCTGCAGGAGGCAGGAAAATGTACAGTGTAATGATGGGGAAAGAAGTGTGCAGGCATTCAGGCAGTTCTGACCCTGGCTTAGCACAGCCATCTGGAAGCTTCCAGCCTGCCCTTCACCCTCTGGGGCCAAACTGGACCCATACAAACAAGCCACTGGAATGGCACCCACGTAGCCCCACACCAAGTCACCCACATAAGCCCACACACTTATGTCATAAAGAATGGAAAGCAAACGGCTTCATTTGCTTGAACTGGCTGCATGCCACATGGAGGCCAGCAGGCCAAGCCAAAGGGCAGAAGTGTGGATGTAGCAGCTGAAGTTGGCCATCTCTCCCCACCAGACCTGGTGGTGTAATTTGCTTGTGGCATGGCTGTGAGTCATGAACCATTGCAGTCTCTGAAGAATTAAAATGAATATAAGCCAGAGGGAGAGGCAGCATGGTGTAGTGGCTAGAGGGCTAGCTTTGGAGTCAGTCACAAAGACCTTGACTCAGTCCTCTTGGGTGGGCACAGGCAAGTCCTATGGGATAGACAAATTTGGATGAATTATACTCTACATTGTTGGAGGAACTACTCATACCTACAAGATCCCAGAAGCACTGGAGTATTTGAGTACAACCTTGGACAGATCACATGACCTTACTGAACTTCAATCTCGAAAACAGGTATAATACTCAAACTATCTACCTGATGGAGCTGTTGTGAGGAAGATATTTTGTAAACAAGTAAGCACTACACCTAAGTATGTCCTTGTACCATTATTTGAGGGGTGGGTAGATGGCAAGGTAGAGCGAGAATTCATCTTTAGGCTTGTTGGGAAGATAGTTGGGAAGATCTGTTACTTAGGAAGGAACATTCAGTAACCTCCCTCCATCTCCACTTGTATTCAAGTGAAAAGAGGCAGCCATGATGTGGTATATTGGCCTTGGAGTCAGGAAGATCTGAGTTCAAGTCCTTCCTCTGACACATACTGGTTGTGTGACACTGAGCAAGTCAGTCATTTAAGTGACTTCTAAGCACCTTTCAATGCTCTAGAACAGGGCTTCTTATACTTTTTCCATTCATGACCCCTTCAGCTCTTCTTAAACTGTGGGTTGCAACCCTATATGGGATTGCGACCCACAGTTTAAGAAGTGCTGCTCTAGACAGCTCTTTAAGATTATAATTTGTCAATATGTATCAGTGAAGGGATTGTTCCATACTGGGAATTATATTCACAGGTCAGAACCCCTTCACTCACTCAAAAAGATAAAATAAAATCCCAAACACCCATTTTTTTTTTTTTTTACAATAAATAGAGAGCACTGACATGAACTTAGTTCTAAGCTTGCCTTAAGTCTCAATTACCTAAGGTCACAGGGCGTCCAAGTTAGAAGGAATTGTAGAGGTCATCTAGTCTTAGAAATTTAGAAATGCATGATGGGAAAATGCCATCCACATCCAGAGAATGAATTATGGAGTTTGAATGCCGATCGAAGCATACTATTTGTTTTTTTCTTCTTCTGTTTTGTTTTGTTTCTTCTTTCTTGTGGTTCCTCCTATTGGTTCTAATTCTTCCTTACAACATGACTAATGTGAAAATATGTTTAATAGGAATGTGTATGTACAGCCTATGTCAGATTGCATGCCATCTTGGGGAGGGAGGGGGAGAAAAATTTAAAACTCAAAAGCTTATGGAAGTGATAGCTGAAAACTAAAAATAAATTAATAAAAAAAAAATTTAGAGATGGAAAGGCATAGTCAGATTTTGAGCCAGAGCAAACTCTGGTGACCATCTAGCCTAACCCTCTAATCTTCCAGATGAAGAAAGTGATCCCTGCTCACTGGACCCTCTGCCTCAAGTCTCTCCTCACTCTAGTCCATCCTCCACTCAGCTGTCAAACTCATCTTAAAGTGCAGGTCTGACCATGTCACTTCCCTACTCAGTAAATTCCAGTGGATGCCTGTTACCTCCAGGATCAAATAGAAAATCCTACTGGTCTTTGAAAGCCCTTTATAACCTGGCCCCTTCCTGTCTTTCTAGTCTTCTTCCACCTCATTCTCCTCTCTGTTCTCTGCAATCCAGTGATCATTTCCTACCTGGCTGCTGTCCTGAACTTCACGATTACCAGGTACCTGTCATTCTGCAAGACAAAATCAACTCTGAAACTCACCCATCCTTGGATTATTTCTTACCCTGGCTGCAGGACTTTGGGTACCATCCCTCCCATTTTAGCTTAGGTGGCACAGTGGATTGAGCACTGGGATTAGAATCAGGAAGACTCATCTTCATGAGTTCAAATCTGGCCTCAGACACTTCCTAGCTGTGTGACCCTGGGCAAGTCACTTCACCCTGTTTGCCTCAGTTCCTCATCTGTCAAATGAGCTGAAGAAGGAAATGGCAAACCACTCCAGTATCTCTGCTAAGAAAACCCCAAATGGGCTCACAAAAATTTGGACATAACTGAAACAGCTCTGTAATGTTCAAATAGCATTAGTGATGCTATTTTGCCTTTATCTACCATTTTGTCATTAAGTCTTAAAATCACCTGAGTTTGGAGAAGTTACAAGATTATGCCCCCCATGAGTTACCCGACTTAAAGAAATGTCACAAAACAACTTCCTTTTCCTTCTCTCCTCAGTGTCTCCTGATTGTCTTCCAATCTCCTCCAGCCAACCGTCACCCTCACCTCATTGTCTCCGGATCCCCTCCTCCAGTAAGAAACCAGGTATCTTAACCTTTTCATCTTGTTTTTATTCCCTCCAAACTGTATATTAACTGGGTATAAAGACCAAAGTTCTGGGTTCTTGACTACCAAGAGCCTTAAGCCTGGTTTGTTTTATAATTGCACATATTAAAAAATAAATTGTCTGAATGATATTCTTTTTATTTCAGATGTAAAAGCTCCCCCATTAGATAGTAAACTCTTTGACGGCAGGTATTGTCTTACACCTTTCTTTGTACTAGCTCAGTGCCTGGCACATAGTAGGTCCTTCATAAACATTTAATAACTGCCTCCAATTCAATAACCATGGCCTGGCTGTTCTGTGTTCAAAATACTCCATCTCCCCACTCAGGTTATTTTCACTGGCTATTCCTCATGTCTGGAATTCTCTTCCTCATCTCTACCTCTTGGCTTCCTTCAAGTCTCACCTTCTACAGGAAGCCTTTCCCAGGCCTCCTTCATCTTTGTAGCTTCCCACTGAGATTACTTCCACTTATATCCAACCTGTATATAGGTTGTTTGTACATTCTCCCTCATTAGACTGAGATCTTCTTGACAGCAGGGACTGTTCTCACCCCAGCGCACAGTTCTTGGCACTTAGGAGCTTAATAAATGCGTCAGTTGACTGATTGAAACAATGAGCCCAAGGTCACCCAGGTAAATGACAGAGCTGAAATTGGAACTGAGGGCCTCAAACTCCACACACTGCCTTGCCATAGAATCCCCTGCATAGCACACCTGGCAAGTGGTCACTCCAGACTCCACTGGAAGACTTCTTGGGAAAGAGAACTCACTACCTTCCCAGGCAACTCATTCCACTTTTGAATAGCTAATTGTCGGGAAGTATTTCTTTTTTTCTTTCTTTTTATTAATTTATTTTGATTTATCAACAATCACTTCCATATGCTTTTGAGTTTAAAATTTTTCTCCCCCTTCCTCCCCACCACCCTCCCCAAGATGGTGCACAATCTGATATAGGCTATACATTTACATTCCTATTAAACATATTTTCACATTAGTGAAATTATAAGTGAAAATTAAAACCAATAGGAGAAACCACCAAAAAGAAGAAACAAAACTCAACAGAAGAGGAAAAAAAAAAGATAACGATTCAACTTCCATAGTTCTTTCTTTGGATGTAGATAGCATTTTCTGCTATCCACTTCTGTTTTATGGGAGAGTTCATCCCATTCACATTCAGTTATGATTACTATCTGTGTCTTTTTCTCCATCCTTTTTTCCCTGTTTATGCTTTTCTTTTTCCTTTCTCCTTTCCCCCCATCACTAGTGTTTTACTTTTGACCACCGCCTCCTTTAGTTTCTCCTCCTATTATCCCATTCCCTTTTCTTCCCCTTTGCCCTTACTGCTTCTTCCCTCCCTTCTATCCCCCCTCCCTTTTCTTTCCCCTTTTCCCTCCTACTGCCTATAGGGCAAGTTAGATTTCTATACCTAACTGATTATGTTATTCCTTTCTTGAGCCAAATCTGATGAGAGTAAGGTTCAAACAATGCTCACCCCCCTCCCTTCTTTTCCTTTGCTGTAATAGGATTTTCTGTCTTTTCCTGTAATGCAATTTACCCTTGTCTGCCTCCTCCTTTCTTAGTACATTTTCTAAGATCAGACTAATCCACTTAAACTTGGATCCATTTAACCCACTTGATTAGATTTTTTTTTTACCATTACATCAAAGTCAGCTAATATCCATCCCCTTTATGCACATTCCTTTAACATGGTGAAATAACAATACAGTTCTCAAGAGTTGCAAGTGTCATCTTCCCTTGTAGGGATGTAAACAGTCCACCCTTATTAACAACATTTTGTATCTTTCTGTCCCATTTACCCTTCAATGTCTTGAATCTTGTACTTGAAGATCAAATTTTTTGTTGAGCTCTGGTCTTTTTATCAGGAAGGTTTGGAAGTCCCTTATTTCGTTGAATATCCATCTCCTCCCTTGAAAAATCATGCTCATTTTTTCAGGGCAGTTGATCCTTGGCTGCAAACCAAGCTCCTTTGCCTTACAGAATATCATGTTCCACACCCTGCAGTCTTTGAATGTAGAAGCTGCAAGGTCCTGTGTAATCCTGACTGTGGTTCCATGATATTTAAATTGTTTCTTTCTGGCTGCTTGCAGCACCTTCTCTTTCATCTGGTAATTTTGGAATTTTGCTATTATATTCCTTGGTGTTGTCAATTTGGGATCTCTTTCAGGGGGTGAGTGATGTATTCTTTCTATGGTTATTTTACCTTCTGGTTCTAGGACTTCTGGGCAGTTTTCCTTTATTATTTCCTGAAAGATACTGTCCAGGCTCTTTTTCTTCATCATGATTTTCAGGTAGTCCAGTGATTTTTAAATTGTCTCTCCTGGATCGATTTTCCAGGTCGGTTGTTTTACCGATGAGGTATTTCATGTTTTCATCCATTTTTTCATTTTTTTCTTTCTGTTTGACTGATTCTTGATCTCTCATAGAGTCATTAGTTTCCATTTGTCCAATTCTAGGTTGTTTTTTTGGGGGGCTAGGCAGTGGGGTTAAGTGACTTGCCCAGGGTCACACAGCTAGTAAGTGTTATGTGTCCGAGGCCAGATTTGAACTCAGGTCCTTCTGAATCCAGGGCCAGTGCTCTATTCACTGTGCCACCTAGCTGCCCCCCAATTCTAGTTTTTAACAGATTGTCTTCTTCTGTTAGTTTTTGTACTTCCTTCTTCAGTTGGCCAATTGTATTTTTTAAGGAATTTGTTTTCTTCAGCGTACTTTTTTTCCAGTTTGTTTGCCAACTATATTTTTAAAGGACTCTTCTACCTCTCTCATTAGACTTCTAAAATCCTTCTTGAGCTCTTCTAAGAAGGCTTTTTGGGCTTCAGACCAGTTCACATCCCCTTTTGATGTTGCAGTTGTGAGTTTGTTGACAATGTTGTCCTCTTCAGAATTTCTGTCTAGATCTTCACTCTTCTCATAATATGACTCTATGGTAAATTTCTTTTTACTCATGGTTTCTTTATTCCCTGGCTTTTAAACAGATTGAGCTCTCCTGCTGGGGAACAGAGGGCACTGACCCAAGCTTCTTGTGTTGGGAGTCTAGGTCTTGGTCACTGGCTTTGTGTGCTGGGGCCTCTTAGTTGGCAATTGGAGGCTGTAGGGTTCTGGCAACTTACCTCATGTTGGGCTGGAATCAGCAAAGCTGGAACTTTCAGGCAATTCTAGGTTGCCTGCTTTTCCTTTCCTTTAGCTTTCTTCAGCTCCTTTTAGATGGGTGCTGCAGGGTGTTTATCTCCCTGGGGCCCCTTGCAATGCTGCCTCCCTCATTTCTCCTAATGCACTGGGAGATTCCTTTGAGGTATAGTGCCAAGGTACCTGGTGGTTTTCTGAGCTGGTTTCCACCGATTCCCTGCCCTCACTGAGGTACTCAGAAGTCCAGGTGTTGGTGTCTGCGTGCTCTACCACCTGGGCTTCAGGATCTCCTCCTGGTTGATGGTTGGAGGCTATAGGGTTCTGGCAGCTTACCTGCTATTGGGTTGGAATCAGCAAGGCTGGAACTTTAGGAAGACTCTAGGTTGCTTTCTTCAGCTCCTTTCAGATGAATGCTGCAGGGTGCTTATTCACCTGGGGTCCTTTGTAGTGCTGCTTCCATTATTTTTACTGAGGCACTGGGAGACCTGTTTGCTGGGCTGCTGCACTGTTGTTCCCTGTCTTTCTTCTAGTTCAGATGTTCCAGGGTTTTTTTTTTTCCTGGGGTGATATTTTCTGGGTTTTCAGAGGTTGATAGGGGAGGGTGAGAATGACTACCTTTTTACTCAGCCATCTTGGCTCCTGGAAGTGGAAGTCCAGGAAGTATTTCTTGATATCAAACTGAAACTTCTAGCCTTCAGGTATGAGATAAGCATCTTCCACATGATCACCCTTCAAGTACCTTAAGACAGTTCCCATTTCCCCCTCCCCTAGCTCCCACCAAATATTTTCTTTTCTAGGATAAATATGCCTAATCCCTATAACCAGTCCTCATATGGCATGACTTCAAGGTGCGTCACCACCCTGATTGATTTAATCTGGAAATCCTCTTGCTTATCTGTTTTCTTCCTAAAATGTGTCACTCAAAATGGAACACAACACTCCAAGTGTGGTCTAACTAGGACAGAGGACAATCCTCAATTCTGGACACTAGGCTTCTGTAACCAGCCCAAAATTATTTTGGCTTTCTTGGCTACTACCTCGCCCTACTAATTGACACTGGCCTTAGAGTCTACTGGAACTCCCAGACTATTTTCCCATGGAGCATCTTCCTCATCTTGACCTTGGGAAGGTGATGTTTTTAACCTAAGTACAGCACTTTACATTTATCCCTATTGAATTCAATCTTATTAGATGGGACCCAGTGTTCTAGCCCATCAAGATGGTTTTGGGCACACCTACCCCCACATTGGCATGTTAGCAGGGGACCACTGGGAAATGGCACCCAAAACCAAGGGGGTGCCTTTACTGGTGAGCTCTCTGGAGGAACTCTTTCATTTTGTCTCCAAACCCAACATAGTGACTGGAATATAGTAGGTACTTAATGTTTGTTGAACTGATTGATGGCAGAATCTTGGGTGTTATGGATGATTGGTAGACGGGAGAGAGAGAACTGTGGCATAGACCACTAGACTGGGAGTCAGGAAGCCTGTATTCTAGTCTGAAGTCTACCACTGACTAGCTCTTCAGCCTGGGCAAGTCTCTTTCCCACTCCTGTGAAATGAGAACGTTGGGTTAGCTGGTCTCTAAAGTTCAGACATTCTCTGATCTAAGGTTCCTTCCTGTTCTTACATTCTATATTCTCTCTCAGGGCAGAGGGCCTTTCCAAGTGTCCCTCATATCACACTGCATGGGGTAGACCTTGTCTTCAAGTTTCAAATTCCATACTTCAGATGAGCCTTTGAAGGTCAAACTTTCAAGTTGATGGAAGTACAGAAAAAAATAAAAATAAACTTAACTGAAGCAAATTGTAGGCCAAGGAGGGATATGACCAACATCTCCTGGCCCAAATCTTCTCCTGGGAGAAGCAGGAAGTTAAAATGTTTCTGGCTTTTTGGTGAGTAGGATTTTCTTTTCATTTGGTTTGCGTGACCAAAAGCATTTAATAAAAATGTTCCCTGTTCTCTTCAAAAGCAAAACAAAACAAACCCAAAGGACAGCAACCTATGTGAGCAATGTCCTAGGATCAGGCCCAAATGGACCTACCCTGAAATCCAGCAAGGGGAAGGGAAGGAGCCAGATTCCACAGTCCAGGCAACACCTAAAGGAGCCATGCTGATAAAGAGGAGCCCATAAAGTGCCAACGCAGCCCTGATTAACTATGTGCATGCTCCATAGGCACATGGAATCATTCCAAATACATAAATGCAGAGCGGTCCCAACTGCCAAACACACCAATAGACCCTCCTGAGTTAAAGATGATCAGGGTATTGCACAAAGTCCAATCTTTCACTAGACCTATCATGTTAGAGCACCACCGAAATATTCAAGACATGATTATTTTCAAAGTACATAGGTTGTATGTACGCTAAATTGATGGGCAACAAAACCAGAATGGTTCTTGCCTCTCCACCTGACACTCTAAAATTAAAGGCAGTAAAATATAATCTTTGATCCCCTTGATAAAAACCATGGGAACAAGGCAAGATTCTTATGGTGGCAATGGTGAAGCTCAAGAAACCCCCATGTTTCCCTTTTGTCTCTCAGATAAGCTCCAAATCCCTTCACACGCCAGCTCTAGCCAACCTTCCCCGGCCTTCCATTCAAGCTTGCCACACACAATAGTGCATCTTCCATATCTGTGCCTTTGCCCAGGCTCTTCCCTGTTCCTGGAATGTATTCTTCCCTCCATTCCTTCAGGGCTTAGCTCAAGCACCTTTCCTATAGCAAGTCTATTTTGACCTGACCAGCTCTCACTGCTTCCCTCCCACAAATTACTTTGAATATATTTTGGATTTAATATTCTATGTATATGTTGTTTCCCTTCCCCCCACCCCCCCGCCAACTTTAATGGAAGCACCTTGAGAGCAGGGACTGTTTTCAATTTTTGTCTGTGTATCTCCAGTACCTAGCACAGTGCTTGGGGGTTACTTAATAAACACTCTGGAATTAAAACGTATTGACAGTTATGTGAATACCTCTCTATATGTTAAGATGAAAGCTTGGCAAGTCATGTGATTGGATTTTTTAAAAAAAGTCTGCTCTGATTCCTAGATTCTGATTTTTAAAAGACTAAAAGCCCACCTCATATTTTTGGAAAATCTCTGTACTCAATTCAAAATTGAGTTTTGCAGGACTTCTGGTTTTTTTGACAATTTCCAGAGCTGGGGATTAGATTTTCAGTGGCCTCGATTTAGAGCTGAAATGGACCTTCCAGGACATCCAGGCCCATTGTGGTACATCAAAGACTTTTTATATGTTTAGAAGGGCAGTGATGACACAGCTGAAAGAGAACTGGTTCTGGCTCCGGGTGGGCTGCTAGCTTACAGTGTGACCTGGCCATGCAGCACCATTACTTCTCTGAACCTCAGTTTTCTTCTCTGTAAAATGGGAGCAAGAAGAGCAGCTGTGACTACTGTATATGCTATCATGAGCTTCAAGGCAGATAACGGAAAGGAAGTATTTCAAAGCCATAAAGCTTATAGACATATCTACTGGCACTAGTCAACACATTACTCAGACCATAGCCACTGAGTCAAGTGCTTTGATTATTTTTACATGGTATTAAAAACCATCCTTTCTATCCTTCCTTCTCTCTTCCATGTTTGTAAGGCATATGAGTAGTATTACAGGTGATCTATTCTGTGGATATGTGGAAGTGTATTTTTAACCTTCTTTTCAGTTTCTTTAGAAATATTAAGAAATAATATTTCTCTAGTCTAAGCCCTTTCCAGGCCCTCCCAACCCTGCCCCACAAAGTTGGGTTGGGTCAAGAACAAAAAGTCTTTCTTAAGGAAATGGACTGATGGTAGAAACGTGACTTGGAACAGAGAATCCATGGTGTGATTGAGATCATTGCCTTCTGTACCCCCAAGAAATGAAAGGGCTATTGACCTATCTAAGGGCAGTCTCCTCTTTCCTAGTCCTGGGAAGGGATGGCACTATCATCTACCTTTTTCCATTCAGAAAGGATGATACTGATATTGATCTCATGAAGGAGACTCTTTTCAAATTCTTGAAGGAAAGTGGTCCAGGAAGGAACTGAGTAGTGAGTATTCTAGAATATTAACCCCAAACTGTACTATGACATATGATCTTTTCCTTGTTCAAAGTTCCTATAAATGCTACCTCAAATCATCTTGGGGTAGAGAGGGATGTCCAATACCAGTTTGAACATTTCTTTATCAAGGCACCTGGATTCAGAATATTTAAATTAAATAAAGATTGTGTTGGCAGACTTGTGCCTAAAAAGCAGAGTACAATATTAACAGTTTTTCTTAGATGGACTGAATGAAATCAGCATTGCTTCCCTGGGATTAGAGGGAGGCAGCATAGGGTAGTTGAAAGATCACTGTAGCTCCTCCTCCTTCTTCCTCTTTGGACTGCCTTTCTTTTCTCATGCTGCTGCAGCCTCTGCTTCCAGCTAGAGAGCTACACTAGCCCCCTTCGTCATGGAGGATCACCATAAGCTGACCAACCAAAGCTGCAGGTGCTGAAGGACATCAGCTCCATCCAGGTCACTGCTGCAGCCTGCTCGGGCCACCCTATGTCATGCTGCAGAGCAGCAGAGATCATGGCAGTCCTCTTCTTCCACGCCATGAAGGACAAACCGCAGGACCCCAGAGACTCCAGCAATGACTGTTTTGTGCTCTCCAAGGGTCATGTGGCTCCCATTCTCTATGCAGGCTGGGCTGAGACATGCTTCCTGCCAGAGACCTAGCTAGTGAACTTGAGGAAGATCAGCTCTATTCTAGACAGCCACCCAGTTCACAGTTATGGTTACTGGCTCCCTGGGTCAAGGGCTTGGAGCAGCTCATGGAATGGCCTACACAGGCAAATACTTCAACAAAGCCAGCTACCCTGTGTCTACTGTATGCTGAAGGCTCCTTGTGGAAAGCCATGGTTTTTATGGGATTCTACAAGTTGGACAACCTGGTTGTCATCCTCAACATTAATTGGCTGGGCCAGAGCATCCCTGTCACACTGCAATACCAAGTGGAAATGTACCAGAAATGATGTGAATCCTTTGGGTGGAATGCAATCATGGTAGATGGAGACAGCGTGGAGGAACTCTGCAAGGCCTTCAAGCAGAGCAAGCATCAGCCACTGGCTATCATTGCAAAGATGTATAAAGGCAGAGGAATCTGAAGTATGGAAAATAAGGAATCTTGCCATGGGAAGCCCCTTTCCAAAAACATGGTGGAACAACAGATCATCAAGAAAATATATAGCCAAATCCAAAGCAAGAAGAAGATTCTAGTATCCCTTCCCAAAGAGGATGTCCTCACAGTTAACATCACAAACATATAGCTGCCATCTTCCCTAAGTTACAAACTTGGAGACAAGGTGGCCACCTGCCAATGGCATGGCCCTGGCCAAAGTGGGGCATGCCAGTGACCGTGTGATTACCCTAGATGGTGACACCAAGAATTCTACATTTTCAGAACTCTTCAAGAAGGAGCATTCCAACTGCTTCATTGAGCATTTCATTGCAGAACTGAACATGGTGAGCACTGACATGGGGTGTGCCACATGGGACAGGACTGTGTTTTTCTACAGCACATTTACTACCTTCTTTACCAGGGCCTTTGACCAGATCTGTATGGCAGTAATTTCTGAGAGTAACATCAACCTCTGTGGCTTGTACTGTGGGGTGTCTATTGATGAAGGTGTTCCTTCTCAAGTGGCCCTCAAAGATCTTTCCATGCTCTGGAGCATTCCCAATGGGACAATCTTTTACCTAAATGATGCCATGGCTACTGAGAAAGCAGTGGATTTAGCTGCCAACATGAAGAGCATCTGTCTCATAAGGACAAGCCACCTACAAAATGCAATCATTTACGACAACACTGAAGAGTTCCAGGTTTGCCAGGCTAAAGTGGTCTTGAAGAGCAAGGATGGCCAGGTAACTATAACTGATGCTGGGGGATCCTCCATGAAGCCTTGGTAGCTGCAGAGCAGCTGAAGAAAGAAAAGATCTATATCCAAGTATTTGATTGATTCCTTTACAATCAAGCCCCTGGATAAGAAACCCATCCTTGATAGCAGTCATACAACCAATGGCCAAATTCTCATTGTAGAAGACCATTACTATGATAGTGGCATAGGAGAGGCCATGGTTGTTGTCATAGTGGGTGAACCTGGCATCACCATCACTCACTTGGTAGTCAGCAGCATCCTGAAAAGTGAGAAGCCAGCGGAACTGCTGAAGATGCTTGGGATAGATGAGGATGCCACTGTGCAGGGCATCCTGTCTCAAGCCTAAGATGCCTGCTGATGATTCCAGACCAAAATAACGGGTAGGAAAGAAAGACAGAAATGTTCCTGTAACTTTAAATACATAACATAACTTTTGTTACTACTTAGGATCAATTAAAATAATAAAAATAATTATTAAAAATGTCTTGAGAAGAAAAAGATCACTATATTTGAATTTAGGTTCAGATCTATGCTCTATAGCTTATTTTAACCTGTATAACTTTGGGCAAGATAGCGTCTTCTTCTGGGGTTCACTTTCTCTCTCTGTAAAATAAGAAGGCTGGACAAGATGCCCTCCAATGGTCACCCCCCCCAAAAAAAAGTCCACGATCCTGTGAATTCATGCAACCAATTGGACAATGGTTTCATAAGGATCTTCTTTACAATAAGCCACCTTACAATTGCTTACAATGAGCAATTTTCAGAAGAAGAAATCAAAGCCATCAATAGTCATATGACAAATGCTCTAAATTACTAATAATTAGAGAAATGCAAATTAAAACAACTCTTAGGTACCACCTCACAGCCATTAGATTGGTTAACATGACAGAAAAGGAAAATGACAAATGCTGGAAGAGATGTGGAAAAATAGGAACACTAAATGCACTGTTGAGGAGCTGTGAACTTGGTCTAACCATT